CTACATATTAGAATTTTTACTAAATTTAAACACCTTGCATTAATGATATAAACCATTAAATTAAAGAGATGTTTTGATGGGTTGTCTATTTAGTTTTAAAAATATGACATTTTAAAAGTGATTTAACATTATTTATTATTTTATTGATTGTTGGAGGGATAAATACAAAATAACACGTGGACCAATCAACTTAGATCGATAGGATCGAATCTGTCTAACTAGATTAGAGGAGAAGACTCACCTACCTTGGAGATCGAGCTAAAGACCAATATAGTCGAAGGAATCACCTGTCCTCTCCAACCAACCTAAGGATATCAACCTTATGCATGGGAACTGACCTTAGGTCCAACAACCCGTAATTGCCTGTTGGAGCAGTTCCAACGATCTTGTCCCTCGATATCTATAAAAAGAACACCGCTCCACTCATTCATGCGCGAGTGTGAGAGTGTTTGTTCATCCTTGCAGATACTATATCTTGCCTATGCTCGCAATTCGTCCAATCGACACGCGACCGATCCCAGTAGCTCGGCAGAATCTTGCATCAACAGTGGATATACTTATTTTTGGTACAAAAAAAGAGACGAAAATTCAAACCGAAAACCTTTAAGAAAGATTATTAAATCAAATTGACAATGGAGATTTCAACAATGACTTCCAGTAATATATTAGAAGCATTTACGATTGAGTTAATGTTTATGTTTACGATCRCAAATTCACTCGTCTATCTAATGTCAATCACATTTCAATTCAACTATTTTTGCAATTTTAAAATATATTATTTCTTTAAGTTTACCTTCTAACAAGATTATTTTGCAATCAACTACAAATTAATTGAGATTTATGACTAAATTAAAAATATAAGAATATAAGAATAAAATGGACTCAAACATTCCTAAAGCCCAAAAAAAAATATATACATATATATATATATAATAATGCAAATAGACATTATTATTCCTTTTAGCTTTATTTGATAAAAAAAAATAGATATTTATGAGGAATGATTAAATTTGAATAGAATTATGTTCAAAATGTAATGAGAATGAGGTGAAGGATAAGTGGGTAAAATGATTAAATGGGGTCATATAAATAAAAATTTTATATTAACAAAAGGCATTAAAAGAAGCATGCAATGCCAGGTGCCAACTGCCAATTAAACTTTGCTTTAAACCATATTTCCAATCCCTAAAAATTCTCTCATTTATCAAACAATTCAACCAGATTTCAAAACCTTTTTTTTCATATATACAATTTTTTAAGAATCCAATGTTCCAACTTTTTCTCAAAAGTGGCCCCCATCATTGTCCAAAATTTCTTCCCTTTCATACTCTCAAAAACACAACTCAAATGCCTTCAAAATGTTGTGTTTTTTGGGCTTAGATTTCATTCTTTACCATTCTTTTATTGTACTTTCTCAACTCTCAAAATGTTTTTCTAGTTGTTAAATTTTGAAGTTTCTTCCATTTTTCTCTCAATTTTCAAAACATCTCTCTTTCCATTAAAAGAATAATCAATATGGCGATCCCTTAATAGTTTGTTATTAATTGTTCAACGTAGTTTAGTTTGTAATATGTATAGGCAAAAGTTGGTAGAAGTTTTTTTTTTTCTTATTGAGTTCTTTGACTTTAAAGAAAATAAATAATATTCTGACGGTTTAAATTACATTCCTATGAATAGATAAACATGAGCTTAACTCGGCGGTAATTGATATTTGTCTTTGATCAAGAGGTCGTGAGTTCAAATCATTCCCTTATTATTCTAAAAAAAAAGATATTAGGTGAATAGATATTTGTGATAAAATAATATAACAACAACAGTATAATAAAATTGAAATTTGAGAACTAAAATAAAATTCAAACATTTTTTTTTTGGGTTTAATTATTGTGTTTGAAAATTGGTATGGGGAATAGGTGACATTATATGGCTAAGTTCGAGAAGGGGGAATTGACAATACAAAGCCAAATGCCAATCATTATTTAACTAAGAGATCAGCCTTTTGTCACTATTCTGCCACACACATGTTTGAGATAACACCCATTTTTACAYTAGAGTTTCATTTCTTTTATCTTTTATCTTTTTTTCTTTTATGGAAATAAATTTTAAAGATTTAAATATTTTACTCACGGTATCTTTACTTTCAAATACTTTCAATTTTTGTTCATTTTAATTCTCGTATTTAAAAAAAAGATCATTTTAGTCTATATTTACAAAGTTTTAACAAARAGTCTATAGAYAATAAAATTCTTTAATACAAAACAATTGCTACAGTTCAAGAAATTCATTGGGTATAATATTGTATCGAAGTTGTAATGAGATAAAAAATAAAATAAATGGAAAAAAACTTTCACTTTTAAAAATACATTGACCAATGACCAATCTATTAGAATAAAAATTAAAATGGGTATTTTACTACAACCACCAAAAGAACAAAGTTGATAATAAAAAAAAATTATTTTTTAATCAAATTTTAATTAAAAAACATTAAATACTATTGTTTTAATAATAATTGGAGTTTGCGCAAATTTATAGACTTTCATTTCAATTTTCAATCACATAATAAATTGTTTAGTATTTTAAAGTCATTTGATCATTRTTTTTGTAAAACAAAATTCCAAACGTCATGTTAATTTTCTTTAAGAATCTTCCTAAGTAAGCCTAACTCAATTGTGAATAAAGATTTTAGCTATCAACATTTTATCATATTATATATTTCGTTAAGTAGTCGTTTTCTCTAAGATACTTTTATCAGCTTCATCTAAACAACATTAAATTGTTGCAAAATTTATTTTTTTTATATATTTTAATTTGAAAAATTATCGAAAATAAACTTTCTATGACATTGATCGGATCGGATAAAAAGAGAATTTTTATTACATTGAAATTTGTAAGTTGAGGGGTTATTTAATGGCCAAATTTAGCTATTAATTATTTAATTTTATGTCAAACTCGATTTACATTAATTTAATGYGTCCTTAGAGTTTTTACATTTTTTTTAGAATTTATTGGTGATTAGTGAAAATTAATATGAGGTAAAAATGGTAACACATATATAATTTTATTGTCTAATTTGAAAAATAAAAAATTTAGATTAGAAATTGATATAAATTACAAAATTGAATGGTAAAATTTGATGCCAACTTGAATCTAATTGTATCTATTTCTGACCATAATTTCGTGTGTTCTAAAATTTGATTTCTTTTCGTATTATTTAGGAGAAAAAAGACGAAGATTTTTGTGTATGTTATTTTCCTTACAGAAATCGGGATTTTTTTCGGCAGCCCGAAACCCGAGGCTGGAAAAGCGTACACGAGCAATGGGACCCACAATCTTAATAAATTTATTTAAAAAAGAAAAGGAAAAAGAAAAAGAAAAAGTAGGAAAGAGAAAAAGAGAGAGTCTAGAATTTGTCTGTTTGGAGCTGGTGGGTCCCACTCTACACTCTTTACAAACCCGTGGGCCGTGGCCCAGCCCACTAATTTCTCCAGCGTCACTCTTTTTCTTTTCCTTTTACAATTTAAAGATTTCAAATATCCATATTAATAGAAGTATCGAAACTTTCCCTTTTATGGAAAATATTGATATCGGTTAATATTCCTGAAAAGAAAAAAAAAAGAGTGTAAATTGAAGATTTTGTAAAATATATTTTAATTAATAAACAAATATCTCGCACCTTTTAAATCAATAAAAAAACCATCACTAGTATTTATGTTCTTATTTTACTCCTAAAAACATCGACCAACTGTTCTTCTTGGTACAAACAGAAAAGGGAGTGAAATGTTAAATTTATCAGTAAATGGGTTTATATATAATAAATCACTAAATTTTTAGAAGTTTTTAATAGTCTCTATTTTCAATTTTGTGTCTTATTATAAATTTAAATTAATTATTATTTTAAATGATGCATTAATCTACATCCTTTACTAAATTTTTAGAAGTTTTTAATAGTCTCTATTTTCAATTTTGTGTCTTATTATAAATTTAAATTAATTATTATTTTAAATGATGCATTAATCTACATCCTTTACCGTACAGTTATAAATTATATTGGTCCAGTTCCTGGCTGAGGTCGGCTTCACGGCTTGGCTAAGCTCATAGAGTTTATGTGCGCGATTGCGATTGCGATTGCGTATGTGATTCTTATTCCCATGACCGGCGCGTGATTTTATGATTTCTCCCGCTCGTTTCTTCAATTTTGTCCTTTTCTTCTTTTCAGCTTCTTTTCAAAACTTCAAACCAAAATCCCCGTCTCGCCCCCTTCTCCTCTCTACTCAGTTTCTCTCTATTTTCCATCAAAACCAGAACCCCACTCTGCTTTCTTTTCACACCTTTTTTTTTGTTTGTCAAAAGAAACCGAAAAAGAGAGAGAAATCGGCGTTTCTGTTGAGAAATTTCATCTGGGT